CAGCCAAGGCCCCATGACAAATGACGACCCCGAGAAATGTTGCGTTCTAATGTCCTAAAATGAAAGCGTGCGCAGGGACGGGACGGGGCGGGGCGGGAAGTAACGAAAGGGTGGTCTTTGCTCAGCTCTCTCAGGTGTTCAACTTCAGAGATAAAAGCAGCAACTAAAAAACAAACGACCTTTTTGGGGGCAGAGGTTAATCGAACACCAGTAATAACAGTCTGGAAGTGACTATACCGGGCTCTGTACGCCGGCGCCAGATCAATAAATAGATTGATTCATTCCTGTCGAACTGAGGCGAATGTTCGTATCCCAGGTGTGGCTATAAGTAAAGAAGAAGGCTCTTCGCTCGCAAGCAATTGTTGTAAGGGGTAGGGTCCAATCACACACCAGTGATTGAGTTTTCGTCGGAGGCCCAGGCTTCAATCAACTCGGTCCGGCTTGCTTGTGGTGTGAGCGGTCATGTTTGTGACTGTGAAGTTAAACCCATGACACACTTCGTAGATGTGGGCAGTCGCTTATAATAATCCGTCACCCCGTCGTACAGCCAGCTTATGTTAGTGTATGCGTGAGCATAAATATTCTGGCGAGGCAACAGCCATTTCCTTCTTTATTAACACACAAACACACACACACACCTGAAATGCAAAGATTCGTTTCTCTTCGTGAATGCGTGGTCTGACAGAAGGATGTAAATGCAAGTCACAATGTACAGGGATTTACTTTACCTCAAAGAGCGGTGTGTAAAACTTGATAAAAACCTTCGTTAAACAAAATGGTATTAGAAGTTACTGAATTCGATGGGCATGAGATCTAAACCAGGAAATACTGTGGAAACTAACCCCACTGATTTAAGGGCGAATTACGATGAAATTTCGAGAAATAACAGTAAGGGACGATAGCTACTAACATCAGCTGGAGAACAGTCAACAACTACGTAACAGTATCCGGCTTAGTGTTTTCTAACACTCAAATGGAAGCAGAAACACCTATGCGGTTTTATGAAGAGCAGAACGAGAACGATACTCTTCCCAGCAGACCCAAGTTCTCCAGGGTATTCAGCACTCTCGTAGAGACAGTTCCTCTAGGGTTCCAGGCGGAGAGACTGTAAGGCAGACAAGACCTAGCACCTGCGTTTTCTTTTCCCAAGAAAAAAACTTAACCTGAGGCGATCCGAGAACGACACCCTAATAACCAAACTAGTGGCTAACATATCGGTTATTATTTAGAACAGCCAATGTTGTACACACACCTTACTATGCAATGAAGCCAGTATTACTAAGACGGCCCCAAGTGATAGGACACTGGGATAGAAAAGACTCCCTCCCCCTCCCTTAATGCGGGCGACGTTGCTGTCAATTGTACGAACAGTACTAGCCCAAAACAAAACCGTAACCCTGGACAGTCCCGGTTTTCATGTCCTGCTGAGGCTAC